TTGGACAAATAGATGGATTATCTGAATTAAAAATATTAGATGTCATGAGGCATATGACAATGTATGCTTCTGCAAATAAAATGGCAGGCAACCCTGATCAAGAGGTTGCGAAAACAATAGTCAATGGATTTATCGGTTGGTTAAGAGGATGGTGGGATTTCTATGTAGACGATGAAACTAAACACAGAATCCTCAATAATACTAGACAATGGACTGGACGAAATGAACAAAACCAAGAAATAATATATACAGAAAGTGATGCTGTCAATACATTAATATATACCATTACATTACATTTTGTGGGAAGTACCGCCTTACTAGCAGCAAGATCAGAAGATCTGCTATCTAATTTACGTCGTCCAACCCTATCTCATTATAAATGGTATAAAGATGTATTTTTCTCAATATTATTAATAAGAGAAGATTGTCAGCTAGACCACTGGAAAGAAAAGTTGATAGCTGGTCACCCATATTTATTCGCTGAAAAAGTCAAAGAAAGAGTAAGGAAGAAACATAATGGAATTATTGTCTATTCATCATATACACTCGGAAAACTCTCCGCAGAAATATGTGCTGAAGGTTTAGCCTTATGTACAGATATGAAGTTAAAAAGACAATTAGATAAACAAAAAATCACTAAGCGCAAAGAGCTTGGTGACTTTTGTGAACAATTCGGTTATTACCTTGATAAAAAAAATATGCCTGAGAATTTATATAAGAAAAAGAAAAAACATAAAAAGGAAAAATACAAATCTAAAAATAAAGACAAAGATAGGAAATATTATAAACAATCTAAAAGGAAATTAATCAATAAATTTTTTCCCAATACAAAGAAAAAGAGAAAATTACCAGTATGTTATAAGTGTGGTAAAGTAGGACATTATAAACATCAGTGTAAATTAAAAAAGAAAATAGAATCATTAAATTTAGATGATACAATTAAATCTAAAATATATACTATATTCAATTATAATTCTACATCCTCTACTTCTTATGATTCTTACATCGATCAAATCCAAGATGATGATCTCATATGGACAGACTCCTCTGACTCCACAAATGAGTCAAATACAGATTCATCTAGCTCAAAGGATGACGCTTGTAGTTGTCCAATATCAACACATAATGTTCACACACTTACCCAAGAAGATAATTTCATTTTAGACATTATTGATAAAATTGTTGATCCAGATGAGAAAAGATCTGTTATCAACCAATTCATTGCTATTACCAAAAATAAAGCAAAATCACCTCCTATCCATAAAACTCCCGATGAATATAATTTTTCCTCCATAATGAAAAGAGTAAGTAATCAACACACTTCTCAACAAAAAGAACCTACCATTTCAGACCTTAAAAAAGAAATTAAAGAAATAAAGACTGAAATAGTTCAATTAAATAATAGAATTAAATCATTGGAATTACAACAAATGTCTCAATAAGAGTCAGATACAGATGAAATAGAATTTGATGAATTATTAAATTATGATCCAAATCAATCATTAGAAGTCCCTGAATCTTCTGAAGCCAAAATAATACCTATTCCCTCTGTAAATTTAATTCATTATGTATTAAAATAATACCACTACAGAGGCTGGATTCAACCATGCCAAGTAGCGAGTCTGTGAAAATATTGTGTCTTGTATCTCTTAGGCATACAAGCACAGAGGTGTTCAACCCTAAACGGGTCAAAGGTTTCACGGCTATTTGGATTAAACCGATATGTAAATATTTGTAATTATTTTCTTTGTGTTTTTCAATAACTTTCTTTGATAGTAGTTGAAAGTCTTATTGGTTTTGAGTAACCGACAAACTTTCTTCTACTGTTTTGATGGCATAACCCATCTTAAATTTAAATGATCCTTTATTATAAATGTCATGGATTGGTACTTTTGGGATGTTCCAATTCTGGATATTTTCTTCAATATCATTGATGATTATTTGTTCCTTATTTTTTACCCTAAGTTTTTGAGATGAAGATGCAGATTTACTTGTCAGATTCCTTATTAGATTTGCCATCCGTAGGTTGCGGATAATGACAATCTGGACATTCAGTGGCCCAGCGTTTTCCCTAAACGGCTCTTCCTGGCCTTGGCGGTACTTTGCAATAGGCTTTCACTTATCTCTTGCCTTTACTCTCGGACCAACTTTCTTGGTAGTAAATCTAACTTAGTTTCTGTATATATATATAT